ATTACATATAAGAATAGTCAAGACATATCTGTCCGTCTGTCTGTCTGTCCGGAACGCTCAACATATATACATAAGAATAAGAATAAGAATTAAGAATAAGAATATAATATAAGAATAAGAATAAGAATATACACATATCTGTCCTTCTGTCCGGAACGCTCAACATAGAAAATTTTTACAACATATATAAATGCTGGACGTCCGTGGTTTTCCACGGGTTATTTCTAGTGGCTAATATAGTCTCACGTGGTCACCTTGCGTGTACGCCATTCGTCTGCCTTCGCGATGAAAGTAGCGGGGCTCATTTACTGATATTCACCGAAAAACGCGAATAAACCGTAGCTATAGTAAAAAACTTGAGAGTCATCGATTTTTGTATGAGCGCGAAAAATCGTGTCTTACACCGAACGCATTACGCGATCCTACAGCGAGTTTTTAAAGAGACTCACATCGCGACATGGGTAGTTCGTGGACTGGTGAACTTTTGCTGCTTAAAAAAGTGATTTTATTTTCAAATGCACTTTGCGATTAATGATAAAGGCAAAGATGAACGCAATTGGAAATAAATATTGTTTTCTGAATGAGCGATGGGTCTCCTGAAAAAGTGTAAAATATCTCTCGGATTCTTTCACAAAAAAAAAATAGGTCTCGACACAGCGAAATGATAAAATAAGGGGCTTGTCAAGGATACCAGCGTCTTTTTTTCAACCATTTTCGGAATCTATGCCCCGATAGCGGTGTCTTCCATCATTACAGACAAAATGAAAAGGTGAATCATTAGACACTGGACAATTTCCTACCTCTTGGAAGCTGAGATATATTTGTCCTCTATATAAATCTGGGGATTCCCAATTAACCTCTAATTACCGTCCAATAACTCTCTTGAATTCTGTATCTAAAATATTCGAGCGTATCATCTTTAAACATCTTTACGGCTTTTTGAGTAAATATAGTTTCTTCCATAAAAATCAAGCGGGTTTTTTGAGAGGCTCTTCAACAGTTAGTCAACTCATTAAAATTATTCATCATATTGCTACATCTTTTAGTTCCGGATCTCCAGTTCTAGCAGCATTTCTAGACTTTTCAACAGCGTTTGATAAAGTTAATCATACTGGTTTATTAATGAAACTTCGAAGTGCAGGTCTAAACGACTCTTTACTTAAATGGTTTGAGAGTTACTTAGAAGACCGCAGAATTGTGACAGTAGTGGATGGTAGTACGTCATCAGAATTGGATATTTCATGTTCTGTGCCTCAAGGCAGCGTGCTCGGCCCTCTGCTATTTTTAATATACATAAATGACCTTCCAGATTCACTATCTAATTTATGCTTCCTGTTTGCTGACGATGTTTCCATCTATGTAGATGCTAAGGAGCTGGTCGCAGTAGTGGCAGAAATGAATAAAGATCTAGCTTTAGTACATAAGTGGTCAACTGATTGGATTCTACCGTTAAACATCAACAAATGTCTAGGAATGTTATTCTCACGAACCATATGTTCTAATATACCTTCTTTAACAATAAATAATATCTGTTTAAACTACGCAGACGAGCACAAACTTTTAGGACTCACTTTGACATATGATCTTGACTGGACATCACATATAGACAATATATTAACTTCAACTGGAAGAACAGTTGATTCTGTTAAATTTTTAAGTCGCGAATTATCACGTCAAGCACTAAATCTAGTCTATAATGCATTTGTTTTAAGAGATGTTTTACCAGCTCAGCGAGAAAAGCTGTGAAGTGAAATTTTTTGACCTATACTTTTTTTTCTATTTTTCGATTCTATGATCAAAACTGGGGTTATGAAAAATTTTAAGGTCGTTTGGACTTGATTTCGCCGAGTTATAGAATTTATAAAATTAGATGTATCGAAGATTTTCAAAAAAGTGAGGTCCGTGACATTTTGCCTATAACTTTGTTAAATTTTATCCGTTCTATTTGAACGACGTCTCATTCGAAAGTCCATCAAAAAATGAACAAAATCATGTGTTCCTAAATTTTTTCGAACGGAAACTGGATTTTTCAGAAGCCTACTATTTGAAAAATTAGTAATTTTAAAAACAAAATTTTTCCAATAAACTTTATTTTTCGCCGTCCATTAGATTTCCCACTCTACACCGCAAAAAATCGATTTCTGTCATTCTATCAATAACAGTAGGCAATTTTAATTTAGTGAAGTAGGGTTGTTTCATTTTACATTTGAAAATGGCATAATTTTTTGATTCTTTTATTACATTTGATAAGCCATTCCACAGTTTAGAAGACGATAGAATAAAAGTCTGTTGTAGATATTCATTTCCTCCTCTTAATGTTGTTACTTGTTGTGTATTTTGGCTTCTCAGAGTCATAAGAGTAGTTTGTGTTGGAGATGGAATAAGAGAATGTAGATCAGTTGCACCTTTTAAAATTTCATAAAATAAGATCTATCGATAGAATATGCGTACTGTCGTGCAGATAACGCAGGATGTTACCATTCTGCCGGTACAATCCTGTCGTTACCAATGATATCTGAAAAAACTAAAATCAAAATATTACGTATTGATTTTTCTGATCCGCAGGCTGGAAAATCGGCATGTGATCGATACGCAGCTGTCATAAAAGCAAACGTAAGACGATATCTCAACGAAAAACACAATATAACGAATGCTGCAGAATTTGTCGAGGCCATACATTCATATGAAGGAGTGAAAGGAGTACAGTCGTATGAATGTAGTCTTATTAGAAATCCGAAACCGACAAAAGTTACCTTTCCAAAAATTACATTTGTGAATAATTTCGGGTTTGAACACGATGGTATACGAGTACATAGGACATGGAACGTCGGCGTTGGTAAATTACTTAAATGGCCATTATTGGATACACCGAAAGCTATAGGTCATCTACAGTGTCAACCATGTTCCTCTACGCTACAATTGTCGTCCATTATCACAGTTCCTAAAGAACGTAAATCTCTGTCCGACCGTTCCTCGATTGCCACAACAACTACAGTCGAACCGGCGGTCCAGGCTAGTAGAAGTAAGCTGTATGACTGTCCCGAAGAGGGATGTGTAGCTTCGTTTATCAGATACGGAAATTTAACTCAACATTTATGTACAGGGAAACACCGACGTCAAATAGAACGTAGTTCCATGAGAGACATGGGTATGACTATGTATCACTCAAAACTGGGAAATACTGGAGTAAGATCAATAAGTTCTCTTCAATTGGAAGAGACTACACCTGCTGATGGTGAAGATACAATTCGTATTACACCAGACAGAGGATGGGCTTTGTCAAAAGAACAAAAACTGACGCGTCTGAATGAATCTCAGATAAAATATCTCACTGAGAAGTTCGATGAGGGTGTACAACAGAGGATTCGATGGAAACCAGAGGAAGTATCAGCTGAAATGCAACGGAAAAAAGATTTGAAGAATAGATTCTATTTCACACCGAAAACCTGGCCTGATCAGATCGTTTTTTTCACGTTTGAAGTCGATACGTGGAAAGCAAACAGAAACAGTAGTTGTAGACGAAGTGGAGGAGCAAGATGATGATGAATTTGACGATAATCAGGTAGTTGAAGAGACTGAGCAACGACATAATTTAAGAAATTCAATGGGGATTAGCAATGAACAATCATCACCTCCGGCTTTCTCTCGAAACCGAGCAGTGTCACCAGATAAAAGAGCTGGATTAACGACTGATGTTCGTTCAGCTAAAAAACGTTCGTCATCGAGGAAACGTACTGTTGTCAAATAAAACATTCAAATATTTATAATATGTCTGTCTATAACCACTTGTACCTTCAACAGGATACTTGATTTAATATAAAAAGTGTGTTCCTTTTCAAGAAAGATTGATTTTAAAAAAATGATAGTATAATTAATTACGTTGATGGTAATAATTGCAAGCAATTTTTCAACATGTTCCTGAGGTTGTGAAAGAAAGTTTTATAGCTTATTTTGTAGAGAATTGCGCGCTCTACAAAACGCACTAACTTACATTTTGCGGGAAATCT